TTTGACAGTTTGTTTGAGTTTTTTGTCTCTCTTTATGTCATTGGGTATGATTGGATCTATGGGAACAGGTTTGGCTATGTCAAGCCCACTACATGGTTAGCGATCCGTGTTGCTCTTTCAGGGGGTGACCGTCTCAAAGTCTCACCATAAGGTTACAATCGTAGTTGTTGGAGTGTCAGTTGGTGTCAGTTTTATTTTTCCTTTACTTGATGTAATGATCCCGAATCTTTTGATATGAATAGAGGCATGTTTGATGATAAAAAAACTTACGTGTTAGTAAGGTTAGTTTGATCGTAGAAAGAGCCAAGCGAAGAGCAGCGAACTTTTGGAGAGACGACCCTAGGGGAAACTCTAGGCGGTCATCCACAACCTCTTTCAAGATCCGATTTTCAACCTTTTCTTTTTCAATCAGCAAAAAGTTTTGGAAGATGGTGACATTCTCTATGCAGTGAAAGATCGAATCAAAGGTTTTTCTATGCTTCCAATCTTTTTTAATTTCTATTTTCGGGGATTTTGGTCCGGTTTCTTCATTGGCCGAGAATTTTGTCCGCTTCATGTGAGCGTGTGGTATGTTATTCTCCTAGCAATGTCCAGAGGTTGTGTGTTTCTAATCGATGTAATCGATCTGGTGAATTTTCGTTGTTCTTGTTGGTAAATCTTTTTCAACCTTGTTGTTCTGATGCTTCAAATACTAGCCCACCACCTGAACCACTGCTTCACTCTGGAAAGAAGAAGATGATCAATTGGATCTTCTTTTCAGTGGATGGTCAAACCGATGCTTCAGAAAATTTCTGCTCGATTGGTTTCCTTTATTGGGTGCTAGTCAAACCAATTCTCCCTTTCCGGTGCCTGGTGAAGCCGGATTTTTTAGTTGTAATTTTTTATTTACTCTTTGGAGTAGCAAGAAGAGCAGCAAGGTCGTTAAACTAGACTACATTATTGCGGGGTTAGCAATCTGAAAGGATTCATTGAATCTGTTCTGTTCTATGCCTCATCCCATTGTACCCTTAGACTATTCATTCTTTTGTGTCTTTGCTATCATTTAATAATAAATTAGTTATTTGATTTTCAAAAAAAACTTACGTGTTTGTCTTACAACACTCTTCGAGCATCCACATCCATAGATTATTTAAGGTTTAATTGGATGATGTGACTGGTCAAAAAACGTTGGATGATGTGAAAGATTATTTGAAATACTATCATTGTTATTGAGAGATTATTTAGGAAGATTATTGAAAAAGAAAGTACGATATCAAGATTTGGATCCCGAATTATTTTAAGTGGTAGTTAAATTGCATTTATCGAATAAATGTGATATGTCAATGATGTGTAATAGAAAAACCATTTATTTTAAAATCGTGAATGAAGATGCTCTTATTAACTACTCCGTACAAGCGACCGTCTTCCCTCTTTGTAATGGTTGAGATTTTCCGCCGCCCCTATCAATATGGGGCTGGAGCGGCAGATTATTCTGATTTTAAGTGTTCTAACGCTTAGGGTTGCAACTACATCGAAGGAGATAATGTTGGCGGATGAACGGATTGTGGCTGAGAGTTTGTATCGGTGCTAGATCGTGAAGCCTTGGCCGGTTGCTCCGGCGGTGGTGAAGTTGGTATTCATCCATATTGCAAGGGCTCGTCCTCCTCCGGAACCACCTCCATACCTGGAAGAGTTTTGTAAAAAGATTTTATTTCAATATTATTTTCTCTTTAGTAGTACTTGTTTTTGTTTAAGTCAGAGTAGATTTGATTTGAATGTTTGGGTTTCTGGAGTTCTTTTAATAGGCATGGTTTCAAATCCGTTCGTTTTAGGCTTAAATTTGCCCGTTTCAGGTTTAGCGAATCAGGTCGCTTTGTATGAGTTGTCTGATTCTATGTTTACTCCTAGGGTTCACGATTAGATATGTAAAATCTGTCTGAAAATTGTCTTGTATGTGTTCTCGGTTTTAATATAAAGCCGCCCGTTTTACAGTAAAAAAACTACTCCGCATAAAGTTTCAAAGTAGTTTGCTTTTAGTCATACATTAATTATGTTAGATAGTCTTCATAAATATTTCTATCGTACCTTTGGCTTTGGGCGTAATTTTGCTTTAGTATTTACCATCATTAATTACCAAATTTATTTTTCTCCTTAATTTCCTATTTTGCCCTTATTGTGGACGTGATTTTTTCTTCCAATAGTTGTCTCAACTCTATTACTTTATACTCCCTTCGTCCCATTTAAAGATTCTCGTGACAAAATGACACGATTATTTAGACAATAATTAAATATGCTAATTCAAAATGTTTTGAAAAACAATTTTGATGAGTATATAATATAATGTGTTATTGGTGATAACTGTGATTTTATAAATGTATTTTTTTTTAATATTTGATGATTAAATAGTCATTTAAGAATGTTAATTATTTCCTAAAACAGAAAGTGAGAACCTTTAGATGAGACGTCTAAAATAGGAAAGTGGGAACCTTTAAATGGGACGGAGGGAGTATTATACTCCGTATAAAGATATTTTATCCTCTTTATCTTTTTATTTATTATGTTATTTTCAGAAAAATGACATTTATATTACCAATATCGTTTCCCTAGACAAAAATATAACTAGTTGTAATTTTGAACAAAAATATGACTAGTAACTATGTATGAGTAACTGAATAAGAGTCGTTATAGTATATTTCAAAGTGATGTGTCCTTAATAAATGATGAGTCATTGATAACTAATCACAGACAGCCAGATAGGGATGGACCCGGGCCGGGCTGGTTCCGGTTCGGGGCTGGGCCCGGCCGGGCTTTTTCTTTGGGAAGGGAGAACCAGAACCAGCCCGGGGTAGGTAGCGGTTCGAGGCCGGTTCCGGTTCAATGTTATTTTTTTAATTTTCTTTTGCTTTTGTAATTAACCCCCGACCCCCCTTCACCCCCCAAACACCCATCCCAACCCGGTAGAAACAAAAAAAATTGAAAAAAAAATAGGCCCGGACCGGGCCCGGACCGGGTGGTTCCACTTTTAGGAGGCCCGAGCCCGCCCAGAGAATTGAGCGGTTCGGTAGGCCCGAACCGGCCCGAAGCCCGGCCAACCGGGCCGGGCGGCCCGACCCGAGTCCACCCCTAATCACATAATATGTCACTTTTTTGAAATTTTTTAAAATAAATCATACTTTTGTCTTGTGTTTTAATTTAGTACTACGTAATATTCATGGGGAAATGCCTTAGTTTTATGGGGTTTTTATTTAAATATTACTAATTTTGAATCAATTACTCCCTTGGTCCCAATTTGATGATCTCATTTCTTTTGGGCTCAAAGATTAAGGAAGTGGTTGAAAAGGTAAAAGTTGTGGTTGAGATTTGAGTAGAAAAAGGTGAAATGATGTGGACCACATATTTCTTTCCAAAAAGGAAAATGAGACTATCAATTTGGGATGGCCTAGAAAGGAAATACGGGATCATCAAATTGGGACGGAGAGAGTACAAAAAAGGGACCACTTTTAAAAAGGGGCAAAAAAGTGATCAAGGAGGTCATATATTTAGAAAAACATAGTGTCTGCCAGATTTGTATGTCACTATTAAATTTTATGTCACTATACTCGCCGCTCGTGTCACTGTAGCCGTTGCCCGTGTCACTATAACCACTTCAAGTGTCACTAAAGCCGCCGCCTGTGTCACTATAACCACCGCCCGTGTCACCATAACCACCACAATAGTGACGCCGCCACAGTGACGTCACCAGTGCACAGTGACACTCGATTTTACAGTAAGGCCACCATCGGAAGTTACTCCGGCCGTCCTTTTTCTGGACGGCACCGCAGTCGGCACCGCCCCACGCTGCCATCACTCGGTTCGGCCACCGCACCCCAACCCCATCTCACCCCAGGCCTACCACACCCATGATCTGAAATCTAAACTGGCCTACTGCTCACCACCACCGTGACCAGCTCCCAACACCCCAAACCCCCCTCCCCAACCCCCAACCCCCAACCCCCCTCCCCAGTCCACTCCCTACCTTCCCCCGCCCTTGTCCCAAATCCCACTCCAAGCCATCGCAACACCTCTGACCAACCCCAAGCCTAGCCGCTTAGATTTGGATCTAGATCAGCCTGTCGTGTTGCTCCTTGTCGTCATAGTGTCGTGCAACAATGTAACAGATCTAAACGACAGGGAAGAAGACAGAGGCGAGGTCGGCGAAGCTCAGGGAGAGGAACCGTCTGCGAAGAGTGATGGCGGCAGCGAGGTTCCGTCTGCAGAGGGCGACAACATGGGGAGGGGAGGTCTTCTCTGCTCCTGGCAACGATCCTTGCTTGCAGCGCAGAAGATGATGGGCCTCCAAAGCGTAGAAGGAAAAAAACCGAATCGGTCAGTTTGTTGCCAAAAGAAATTTTGGTCATATATTTGCCTAATGAAAGTTGGAGAGTGATATTTGTGCCATTCTTTCTAGTTTTATCCTTCTTATGTTATTGTTGTTATTTTTATCTACGTAATATCCAACGTTGTTATTGTTGTGGTAGGCTTAGGTCTCCAAGATTATCTGGTACAAAAATGCTTCCCATACATTGGCGTCTGCACTACACTTTACACTTATTACTTTATTAGTGTAAAGCATAGATCCAAATATGCCAAGGAAAATTCCATGAATGAGATTTGCCATGTTTTTCGGTGAAAAAGTGAAATTCAAGTAAGGAAGAAATACGGAGTAGAAAGAAAGAAAGAAAACTTTGAGGCTCAAGAAGCAAACTGTAGTTCAATTTCTAAAGTTGTCCCCCTAAATGGGGTCAAATGGTATCAAATCATTTCAAAGGTTAGAGACCGAAAATCAGAAATGAACCAGTACATTATTAACAATAAATAAATAAATGACTAATAGCAAAGGCTAAAGATAGTGACTGGAGGAGCTTCAGATACCCAACTTGCATTGCAACTTGCAAGGACCCATTGACAGATAGATAGTACTCAGTATTTGATTAGATATACAATTGAATCTCAGGTTGTGACCGAGGGAAGGTTTTAACAGTTACCAACAACAAAACATGCCATTTATGGTTTAAACAAGAGGTTTGAGGACACACTAATAAAATGCAACCAGTAGACAATGATTCATTAGAAGCTTCTCTGCTTCATATCTAACAGGAAAAGTACACAGGAACTTGAGTTCTAATGTTCTATACATCTGTTTGAATCAAACACGATCAGATAAGTTGTTAGGCATGAGGCATCAGTTTTTGTGAATCAAGGTTCATCTTTGTGAAATTCACACTGACAACAAAAAACATTTATATATACATCTATAGCAAATATGGTGTAACTTTTATAGTCCAATCTTGTACTTTGTATATTTTTCTATTATCATCTAATCTATTTGGTCTGATTTAGTTTACAATTCTAGTATGGTCATATATGATCGCAGATTTAAATAAATTCAAGATAACATTCAAGCTAGTGCAGGAGTGTATCCCTAATATATTTATAGAATAACAATATAGAATCAATGTCTGAAAGATATAATTACTCCAACTATGATTGTTGTTACTCTAGTTTTTTCACGGAGATTAAAAAAAAATATCCGTGTGTAGTGTAGAAAAGATCGAAAAAAGTATAGATGAAAAATGCTAAAGAGAAGATGAGAATGTAGAAAAGAGAAAGATGAAAAGGTAGAATAAAAATAACCAAAAATAGAAAATATAATAAAATTCTACCTAAAAAGGAACAGGTAGTACAGCTAATAAGTACTCTAATAATAGGGAGTATTAATTCAAAATAAAATAGGGTATATATGGACTGAACAGAAAACTGTAAACATGATTAAAAAAAGATAACTCTGTCCAGGATGCAGCCCCAATTCACATTTTGCCATTTTTGCTTATATGCTAAGAATGGGGATATAGCTTGGAGGGTCTTCTTATCATCTGACACTCCAAGAAACTATCAGCGCATGGAGTGTCCTTCCTGTAGAATGTATAAGTATTACATGAAGATACAGTTAACTATTAAGTTGTTGTGCAATAATACACACCATACTGGCTTCAACTCCTTTAAGAAAGGCGAATGATATAACAAAAAACTCCACCATCTTACCTTATTTCTTAATTTCTTTTTTAGTGAGTCCCAAAAAGTCTTCCTTTTTCCTTGAAAAAGAAAAAAGAAAACAGGGTTTTATTTTCTCAATTATTTTATTTCGAATCTCAACCATACATCTTCATTTTCAACCTCACAACAGGAACAACAGATCTTCTACTAATAGCAGTAATACATTAATTGTTAATCTACGAGTATAATTCTCACAACTAAAATTTCCCAACAATTCTACATTAATCAAGTAAACTCCTGACAAAGAAATATCATCAAACACATGAATCAGAGTACTTCGTATAAAGAAGGTCATTTACATGCACAGTCTGGCCTCATTGAGTTAAGTGCAGACAAGTTGAGCAAGTAATTACTTTTCAGTTGGAGGAACGTGATGATATGCACCAAATTGGTTTCCTGGCCACTCCCTTTGTTGGCCCATATAATACTGATGATGAAGATGACTAGGAGGTCCACCATTTTGGTTTCCCATCTTCCCATTGATTCCATCAGGAGTGATACCAAACAATGGCATGGGAAGCATTTGGTGCGGGCAAGGCAAAGGAATTGGCATCGATATGTGATCATTAGATTCATTGCTATTATGATGGTGGCCATGTCCATGACCAGATTCTGGCAAACTCTGTGGCAAAGACGTCGAAGCAAACAACCTATCCGATGCAGAAGAAGGCCCCTCGTTTGGGAACCCTTGCATCCTCTTTAAGTACAGCCTATACTTCTGTAAATGACTGGCGACGTTCTCCCTTGTGAGTCCCTCTACGTTCATTAGCTCCATAATCGTCTTCGGCACTGCCTTGCTGATGCCGAGATGCCCCACCACGTCCAGAAATCGCTTGTGCAATTGCGGCGTCCAAACGAGCCTCTGCCGCTTCTGAGCAGTTTTCGCGGACGAACCGTCTCCGCAGTTTCCATCCCGCATACCCGAGTCCTCGGCCTCCTCTACCCCGCCTCCTCCGGTCTCAATCCGCCGATTCTTCCTCGAATCAGATCCTTCTCGTATCAGATCCGTATCATCGTCCGTAATAATCCTCTCCTTGTTCAGATCTTCATCGAACGGCTGAAAACTATTAAGATTCAGGGACGAAATCATCTGATTCTTACCTCCTTGCAGCGATGCAAACGTCATGTTCGAGGCGCGATTCACATCGAGCATGGTCCGGAGTGGCTCCGGTGAAATCCGAAACGCGAAGGCCAGCCCCGGCGGGATTAGCGATTGAGACAATGGAGTGAGATCGTCTCCGTGTGGAAGACCGTCCTCCCACTCCATCACCCTATCTCCATATCCCCCGGCGGCGCTTACAGCGTCGTAGTTACCTATTCTCACTGCTTCATCCATAAAAGCTGTGGATTGCAAAGCTAAAGACTCCTCCGGCTTTGTCAAACTTTGTACATCCTATTACTCAATCGAATCTTCATCGCGATAAAATATGGTCGGAGAAACGGGTAAGATATTTCAGATGGACGAGAAACAGATTCTTGGAAATGGATTGGCGGTGGAAAATAAACAAGTTCGCGAAAAGCGCATTTTAGTTCACGTTTCAGCTCGGAGATTTTTTTTGGCCTAATTTGAGCGGATCCGGAACCTCTGCCATACTTCAAAGTAAGGCACGGTGCCTGGCCCTCGGGAACCATCCGATCAAAAGATGGACGGTCGGAGATGTTGAAGCGCAGATCCCGAGGCCGCTCTTCCCCCATCCGACGGTCCTCTGCGCGCAAGGCACTCTGCCGTGCGGCAGAGGATCCCAATCCAATTTGAGCGTGCGCCCATCTTATTGGTTAATTTAGATTTTGGTTAATTTAGATTTTGCATTCCGTTTTTTTAAATTTTTTGTATTTGCACCTCAATCCAGTACGAGAAGACAAAAATGTCTCTCATTCAGGAATATATTGAAAGCCAACAGAATTGCAAATGGAGGGGCAGTTTTGTCTTTTCATACGGGGTTGGGGTGCACATACAAAGAATTTAAAAAACGGGATGCAAGTCCAATTTGGACAATAAAATGGAGTGCAAACTCTAATTACTTCTTTTTCAACAATTTAGGAGCCCAGTAAGAACATGAGTATCAACGTTTATGGACAAAGCAATCTCCTAAAAATATTAGGTATGAAGTTAATATCGAGGTCGAGCCTGTGTCGTCAAGGTTGCTTCCTAAAATGAGTTTTTTGAACATCGAGATAAGTCAATTTCTCCCATCGAGCCTGAGTCCGCGTCCGCCAAGCTTGGTTCTGAAGTCAACCCTCAGATTATCGAGATAAATTCAAAACAAGAGTCGAGCCCAAGTACGTTAGCTGCTTGGGCCAACGCCAAAGTCAACGCTATGGCTAAACCTGAAGTCAACTAACCGCCTACAAAGTCAAAGAGCTAGAAGGAGCATCAATTAAGCAAGTTGAGGTCGCCTTCTCCTTAGCTGAATACATTGTTCCCGAGCTCAAGGCCCACAGAGCCCATGATGTCATCCAGGCAGTTATCCATAAAAGGTTCTAGGCGTACACGCGTTACTCTCTTTTGTAGACCAGTACAAAGAGAATCAAATCAGTTACCACCATACCAATCAGCCAAGTGTCTCCATCCTCTTGTCAGTCAAGCCTCACACGTGTATCCTTGTGATTAAACTAGTACATTTTACTTGATGACCAAGTATTACATGTGTCATTACCACATTAGAATAATATCTTTTATACTTGGGCACCGAGTATTTCCTTTTACGGTATAAATATCACATTCCAGTCTGTGGAAAGAGATACGATTTTCTTTGCCCAAACTTGTTACTCTATCCAAATTGCTACTTATCAACACTTGGCACTTTCAATCTCTCTTACTCGATTATTTTGTCACCCCAAGGCCGGAATTCAATCAAAAACTTGTGAAATCTTTATCCTTATACTATAATATAAAGTAGCAAAGTTGCTACTATTATTGGAGGGAAAATTCCCGCCAAAATGCACAATTATGAATTGCTATAAATATATACCATTTCTTTTTTACATTCAATGTTCGATAAATATAGTTACAATCATTAGAGCATGAGATGCACGATTGTCATCACCGACGTCAAAGTAAAACCATTACCATATTTGAAATCTTTTACTCCACATGCACAGTACATGGTGTAATCTAACTTTCATCAATGTTTCTGCGGCTGAATGAAAAATTCTTTTGGTACACCTTGGGTTACACCTTGGTGTACACCCTATATAACCCCCCCCCCCTTTCTTATTTCTCCCCTCCCAACTTTTTTCTCTCCACTCCTCTCCCATTTGAATCATATGGATCCCCCTCCCTCCTCTCTTTCTTCTTTCCTTTTCTTCTTCTTCAACATCTTGTTCTTTATTCTTTCTTTCTTCCTTTCTCCTTCATCTTCTTATTCTTCTTCTTCTTTCCTTCTCTTTTTTAGGTTTTATTCACCCTAATCATCTTCATTATCTTCATCACCATCTTCTTCTTTTTCTTTCCTTCTCACTTTTTACGTTTTATCCACACCAACAGTGGTTTGCTATAGTGTCTGTGTACACGACTAAAATTGTATATATACAGACACTTTTTTATACAAGACAACTAACGCCTGTGTACACCGACACTTGTTTTCCAACTAATTTTTTCACACCGACACTTTTTTATCTACACAGACAACTAACGTCTGTGTACACCAACATTTGTTTTCCAACTAATTTTTTCACACCGATACTTTTTTGTCTACACAGACAACTAACGTTTGTCTGTGTACACCGACACTTGTTTTCCAACTAATTTTTTCACACCGACACTCTTTTGTTTACACAGACAACTAACGTCTGTGTACACCGACACTTGTTTTCCAATTAATTTTTCACACCGACACTTTTTTGTTTACACAGACAACTAATGTCTGTGTACACCGACATTGGTTTCCGTGCAACCATCCTGACAGATCTAGAAACTAATTTTACTCACACCGACACTTTCAATGAAAGTGTCTGTATTTGTATGTTTTTTGTCTGTGAGAAGGGCAAATAAATAGGTATACCTCAGGGTGTAACCCAGGGCGTACACCAAGAATTATTGTAATATTAGTGCCATTGTTTAATAAAAAAAGTCATCTCATCCTCTAGGGCCACCAACATCCACCGAAAAAGTGAAAAGTTAACAAAGAAAATGTGAATTAGACGTTAAAGATAAATGATAAAAAGTTAACTGGCCAAATATCTGGCCAAATATTTGGAGAGGATCGGACGAAGGTCCTATAGATTTTGTATATTCTTTCCATAAATTTGGCCAGAATTTATGTTGGAGAGGATCCCACCAACATAAACTTTACATTCTTATTCCGTGTGAATTAAAGAAGTGAGATAAATGATAAAAAGTAATCGACAACTTAATGTGATTATGTAAAGGATGACACCCCATCCCTGAGGGCCCCCAACACCGACCGGACGGCATGATGAGAGGATGTAAATTGGACTATAATCACAATCTGATAGATAGAGTGAGGCTCCGTACCCGGTACTTGCAGAGGCCCTGTGCATTTTAAGCATAGTAACCTCTCATCGCAGTTGCCGGGATTTGAACCCGGGACCTAACCCTAGTGGCACTCCCTCGCTACCAGTTGAGCTACGCCCACCGATGTGATTATGTGAATATTGTCTTCAAAGTGTAATTAATAATGACAATAAATTACACATTTAAGAAAATAAAGGAGTAGTTATTCATAATGCGCTCACGTGGACATTATAGACCTTTTCGTAGTAGTAAGTACTACTGTACTAGTACTAGCTTTAACAAGATGACGTTATTGGACAAAGTATCAATAATACTCCCTCCGTCCCGAAAACAACCTCCCGATTTGACTTTCACACACTTTTAGAAAATAAATTTGACTTTACTGTAGAGTACACTGTTTAAACACTGTTTGACACTATTTAAACACTGTTTGGCACTGTTTGACATTGTTTATCACTTTTTTGATGGAGATAATTTGCCAAATAAGGAAAGTATTGAAGTGTGAAGTTAATTTTGGGACATCCATTTAAGGAAAGTGGGAAGTTGTTTTTGGGACGGAGGGAGTAATTTGATTTTGTATCTTTCTTTTTGAAGTCCGTAGAAAGAGAAAATGATAATTATTTTTGTTAGTTTACCTAATTACCCATGTATCGTTTTTGCTCAGTTTTGTTAGAGAAAATGATATATGTAGCCATATGTTATTATTATTACTTCTTTGTTGTAGTATTTTATTATTGTTTATTAATTTGATTGGTTTCAGTTTTATTCCAGACAAGATCAAACCATATTTAATCATATCATATCATATCATATCATATCATATCATATCAAATTGTATCATATTTAATCAGATCTGACCGAATTAGGCCTCCTTATATTTGACTAAATTAATTTAGACCAAACTTCAACAATTGTGAAATACACATAAAACAGACATCTCCTATCCCAGCCTAGATCAGACAAAACATCCTGAAGCTACACAATCACAAAACTCATGTGCATTGGCTCCCCACTTTAATGCTTCCAATTTTCAAGAAGTATCATAAAGTGTCCGTCAATCAGATCTAAAACAAAGTGAAGTTGATCATGGTTTGTGTGAGGTTGGTACCCCTTGAATCAAGAACGGCGCTGATTTTGGCAGTACACCGTTTCCATGCCGGTTCAATCCCACATGACCCTCCTCCCTATCCTTGTTTTGTTAGCTTATCTTTGTTTGCTTTTAAATAGGGATGGACTCGGTTTGGGCCGCCCGGCCCAGAACCGGCCCGGGAAACCGGTTCCGGTTCCGGTTCCGGTTTGGGCCTAGGCCCGAGGGTTTAAGTGGTTCCAGACCCGGGTCAAGCAAAAGGCGAACTGGCCCGGCCCGGCCCGGCCCGGCCGGGTCTTTTTTTTTTTTTTTTGTTTTTTTGTTTTTTGGGGTTTGACTGGGCTGGGTGTTTCTGAGGGGTTTGGGGGGTGGATGGGGGTGGGGGATGAAATAAATAAGAAATCAAAAACAGAACAAAAAAAAATTGAACCGGAACTGCCGCCTACCCGGGCCGGTTCTGGTTCCCCCTTTCCCAAAAAAAGGCCCGGCCGGGCCCAAGCCCGAACCGGAACCGGCATGGCCCGGGTCCACCCCTACTTTTAAATGGATTTACACATCTTTTATCATGCTTATAAATCTCTTAAAATACAAACCAAAACAAAGACCGTTCACGGACTAGACCGGCCGATGACCTGGTTCGGGCCGCCCAGATCGGGACCGGACCGGCCCGCTACTGTGCGGGCCCGGAACCGGCCCGGTTCTCGGGTCCGGGTCCGGTTCGGGCACCATACCGGTGGGGGGGGGGGGTCCGGGCTCGGGGCTAGTTTTTGGCGGTCCGGCCCGGCCGGGTCGGGCCTGGGTCCGGGCCTAACGGCCACATTTTAAAAAAAAATCATTTCTTTTTTAAAACCTCTTTTGGGTGTTGACCTACTTCCCAAACGGCTATATAGCCGTTGGGTGGGTACCAGGGGGGTCCGGGGCTT